GTGCTGAAGAAGAAAGATCTGGCAACCCAAACTTTCGTGACATCAAAATTTGCAGCTCTATCTTAGTGACAGGTTCACTCTCCTAGCCTAAATGTTTGCAGTAAGCCCAACCAATCTGTCTGGCTTTGGGTTGAGGTAGAAGAAACAGGTGGGTGATGATTTCTTCATCCTACACGAGAGTTTCATCCTTGGAAACTCCAGGATCCCTCTGTGCTCTCCCTGGATGAGGATATCCACTTAAGGATGGGTTTTTTTCTCCATTTTGTGTGGGTTTATCCCCCTATCCTGGATAATGGTTGAAGTTTGGTGTTGAGATGACTTTCCTGGTCCTCCTTGAGCTCATGTGGGTTTGGGTGTTTGCTCAGAGGGTCATGGGAAGCTCCAGATTCACCCCAAAATGGGTCATTTTTCTCTGTGGCTTCTTCAGCACCAGCTCTGCTCCACATCCCATGTATTCCTGCTTCCACAGGCACAGGGATTCCTCTGCAGGTGCCTTCTGCTGCCAACTCCAGGTGCTCCTGCTATCAAGACTCCTTCAAAATTAGTTCCTGCATCCATTTCCATTACCCCAAGGGAAGATGATTGCCAGTTGCTGACAGCAGCTTTCGGCACAATCTCCTTCCCAGCACAATCTCTTTCCCAGCACAAAAAAAAAAAAGCTTTTTATGGTTGCTGGTTGTTTTTTTTCTCCCTCTCAAAAGGAGACAGTTCCAAAATAATTTGCTACATCCTGCCCAGCACTTTAAAAGGAAGTACCAGTGCAGCTGCACCTTGGTGGTGCTCTCAGAAACAATTTCAATTCCCACTTTCTACTCAACGTCTCACCTTTCGTCTGCATCTCACGCGCTGGCTGAGCACTAGAGGCCAAGCTGCAGCCTCCAACAGAAGCTTCTCACCTCTTTTTTGATGTTTCTCACCACAGTTCGTGGCTCACAGCTCCAGAACTGTGTGGCACAATGTGGATGTGGTTTGAGCTCTCCATGGCACGTCCCTGTGGCCTGGTGCAAGCTGAGCAAACCATCCCATGGAAAATCATCAACTCTGCAGTTTCCATGCTGCACCTGAGGCTTCTGTTTCCTTGTGCTAATGGAGAATGAGTTCTGATCAAGGCTTTTCCACCGCTATGTCCCCAAGAAAGGGTGTAGTGAGGCCACACAGGAGTGGCTGAGGTCACTTGGAGGTTCAGCTGGAGGAGACTGAGGTCAGACCTCATCAGGGTCTGCAGCTCCTCACGAGGGGCAGCACAAGGTCAGTACCAACCTCTGCTCTAGTCACCAGTGACAGGACCCAGGGAACAGCTGGAGCTGTGTCAGGGGAGGGTTAGGTTGGATATCAGGACAAGGCTCTTCCCCCAGAGGTGTTTGGGCACTGGGACAGGGTTAGGTTGGAGATCAGGACAAGGTTCTTCCCCCAGAGGTGTTTGGGCACTGAACAGCTCCCCAGGGCAGTGGTCATAGCCCCAAGGCTGACAGAGCTCCAGGACAGCCCTCAAACACATGGTGGATTGTTAGGGTGTCCTATGCAGGGCATAGCATTGGACAATGATCCTTGTGGATCCCTTCCAGCTCAGGATATTCCATGGTTCTCTGATCCTATGGAAAAACATCACCACCACTCCATCTGTCTGTGACATCCCACCAAAGCTCAAGTGCTTTCATCCAGGCATTCAACAGAAAGCATCACCTCCTGATGGCAGAGACCAGCAGGAGCCATGAGGGAAGAGGCTTTTTTAAACAAAATATATGTTTGTTTTCACCTGTGATGGTCTAGAGGCTGCTCTGCCTCCCTGAGAGCTAGACAGACAACATCTTTGGTCCAAAGCAGCCCAGTACAGGTTAGCCTAAAATTACCCAAGTGGTTACAGAGTCTGGAGCCACCAAATTCCTTTTTCTGCCCTGAGTTGTGCCCTGTACTGGCACACACAGGGAATACCATGAGATCAGGAGTTGGCAGCTGTGTGGAAGGCTTGTATCTGTCACTTGCAAATCATATCAACATCTTTTAATGAGATTAGGGAGTTTCCAGGCTGGTCCACCCTAACCAAGAGGAAGGTGACTGTGACTTCGGGTAGAAAAGGGAAATTAAACTGAGGAAAAACATGATTATCCCTGACAAGACTAACAAAGTTCCCACAGTGAAAGAAAGTGTTATCATCTCTTCTATTAACAAAGTAAAGAGACTGTGAGAGAAAAAAACACCACTCATGGTGTCCAAGGCAGGGAAGTATTTTTCTTGAGGCAGTTCATGGAGTTAATATACACTGAGACAAAAATGCTGCAGGTTTTCCACACCAAAGCACTGGTGTGATGCGTTAGGGCTGATGCACATGGTTTCATTTCCTGGGGAGATGATTATGAGATGAAAGACATACTCCAGAGTAATATTTTTGTTTCACCTGAAACACTGTACAAACAATGGGTTCTGGAAAAAATCCAAACTAAAGCTGCGGTGGCAGCTTGAGTCTGAGTCACCACCCAAACAGAGCTGCTGAGTGCTCTGTGAACTCACAGAATCACACAGGGCTTGGCTTGGAAGGACATTAAAGCCCATCCAGTCCCACCCCTGCCATGGGCAAGGACAACTTCCACCAGCCCAGGTTGCTCCAAGCTCCATCCAACCTGGCCTGGAACACTCCCAGGGATGGAACAGCCACAGCTGCTCTGGGCAACCTGTGCCAGTGTCTCACCATCCTCACAGGGAGGAATTTATTCTGTATATCTAACCCAAATTTCTCTTCTTTCAATTTGAAGCCATTCCACCTTATCCTATCACTCCAGTTCCTGATGGAAGCTGGGTAGTCCCTTTCCATCTCTTCAGGTCCTGGAATGCCTCTGTGAGGTCTCCACACAACCTTCTCTTCTCCAGGCATAACAAAGAACAGCAAATACTTAGGACAAGCTGGAGGATCATCTTAATCTCAGCTGTTTTCTCTAGGAGGATGTTTTGGAAGGAAATCCCCCAAATTTCTCCATCTAATCATAGAATTTAGGGGTTGGAATGGACCTGACAGATCATCCAGTCCCAATCCCTGCCCTGGGCAGGGACATCTCCTCACTAGATCAGGTTGCTCAAGGCTCATCCAGCCTGGATTGAACACCACCAGGGTCAGGGCAGTCACCACATCCCTGGGCAACCTGTGCCAGTGTCTCACCACCCTCACAGGAAAGAACTTTCTTCGCACATCCAACCTAGACTTTCCCTCCTTCAGTTTGAACCCATTCCCCCTTGTCCTGTCACTGCAGTTCCTAACACAGAGTCCCTCTCTGGCTCCTTGTAGACCCTTCAGAGATTGAAAAGTTGCTCTGAGGTCTCCATGCAGTTTTCTCTTCT